AGCCTCGTAGCTTACCATAGAACTAGATGGTGCTGTGGGTTAATGTCCCAAAATATTTTATTTAAAAATCAGTAAACATGCCGACCTTATATCAGTTTTATTCAAATGCAAAGAAAGTTATAATCCAAAAATTGGCTATTCTGAACCCAGTTCAAACATTTTAATATAAAACCTTTATTTTATTTTTTAAAATAATGAAACTTTTACCAATTTACTAACTGTGTTTAAACTGAGTCAGCAATGATAAGGCCTGAGCTTTTTTAATATCACGATTTTAATAAAAAGCTTAGCTAGCGCTTTGGCTAAATAAGTGAGGGTAAATATATTTTTGCTTTGAAAAAGAAAATAAAGTTAATACTAGCAAGCTTTAAATGTGAAAAAAGGTTAAATTACCTGTTGCTAAGGTATTGGTCATAATTTGAATGGCACATAATAAGCAATAGCTGTCCATTTCTTCTACGTATGGCTTTATACCATAATATAGGGGCTTGGACATGGTGTCGTTTTGCTACGAGTATTATGGCATATTATGATGTTTTATTATAACGATTAAGTTTATTATATCAATACAAATTTTCAAATGAACATCGACTCTTAATGTCAGTACTACTTTTCTAACTTTTTTCTTATAATAAGTAAATCTCATTTAAATAGATTCCAAACTCATCTGACATTAAAATTAATTTTGAATTGTTTTCCTTCAAAATCTTAAAAAAAGATATTAAAAAGCAAGGACTGTGAGGGTTATCGTTTCTGGTGGCAATAGTTAGCGCCACAGGCGAGTGACGTCCTATCGCTGTCATTAAAAAAGTATTTATTGGAGGGTCATTTTAATATAATAAACTTTCTTAGATTTACGCTTATATTTGATATGGTCATACATATTAAAAAAATAGCAACACCTAATGATATTATTATTTAATAAAGTTTATTTTAATTTTATTATTTATAACAATAACAGCTAAAATTAAATATATAATATTGCTATTTGTGTATTTTTTTTTTTTTTTAATTTAAAATGCTTAGAACTAAAATCAACTCAACAAATACTGTAAGTTATTTATCGTTTTTGAATTTTTAAAATCATTTTGTCACGTTGTTACTGTCTGTAAGAAGTGTATAACGCCTTTAAGAAGTCTAAAACCTTAGACTCCCCCGCGATCATCATGATGCTGTAAAGCATTCGAAACGTCGGGAACCAAAAATAATAATAAATCCGCGTAATAATCCGAAAAGATAGTCTTACATAATATTTAATATAGTAATAATTGGCAGCGCGGCACCAGTTTACCAGGAGTTTGTTTTAGATAATGAATATATATTAACCGATTAGATAAAATATAGGTTTTTTCTTAGATCTTCTTTTAAATCAATAACATTTATTGAGTCGTATCGTGTCTGCCATAATTAATCAGGAATGGCACCATATTTACAATATAAGTGAAGATCCGCGATCAAAAGTCAGAAAAAGGAAAAATTATAATTAATTTCGACTAAATCCACGTCCTACGATATATAGTATATACATTTATAAAGTGATTTTAAAGCGCATGAGTCATGAAGGACAATTAAAACAGTCACCCCAGTCAAGATTGATTGAAATTTAGAACTCTCCAATAGTAATAGAGTCAGTAATCTATAAATATAATAAAATTTTAAATATTTTTTGGAAAATCTTATTGAAATAGCCATTATTCGATACAGAGACCAAATCTACTGTTTTTAAAATTTTTGTCTGCCTGTTTTTCTGTCTGGGAACGCATCACGAGAAAACCATTGGACAGATTTTGATGAAATTTTGTATGATGATAGCTGGTTATTCGGATCAACATATAGGATACTTTTTACTGCAGGAAAATATCTCATTTCTGAGAAGTCTATACTAAACGTTATAACGTAATTAGGGACGAACCCGAGCAGAGCGAGGGTAAGTCACTAGTATAAAATAATGATATAATATAAGGCAAAGTTATAAACATTACTTAGTTTTTCAATATAACTCTATTTCTAATAATTCCCAAAAACGTATAGAATAAAAACGAAGGTGATTCTATAGATAAAAGATTGTTATCATAAAGGCCCGATTCCCCTTTCACATACAAATACCACATGAATACAAGAATTCCAATAGGCTCAATGGTTTTGGAGAAATCCACGAAGGGACAGACCTAATACGAATTCTTTTATTGAAACCTTTCTATACCTTTGGCATTCAAATTGTGAATTCATTTGAAATGGCCACTTATCTTACTTTAGTGCATGATAAATTATTTTGCGATGCGATTGGGAATATGCATTGATAGAGTTTGTACCAGGTCTGTAATAAAACAAAATTACCCTGTTTGTTTACATCGTTTTACTTAAAAATTAACTATCTTCTTGGTTATACATAATATATTTAACTTGAACTGTGCAATATTTTCATATTAGTCTGTCTGTTCATCAACAGGAGAACAGAAATTAATAACTGAAAATGAATATTCTTAATTTTTATTTTTATTCTTTTCTGTGTACACAATATGATGGGTTTTGAATTACCTGCAATAAATTGTTATTATTATATATTAGCGATCTACCTTATCCTCTATTTCTACGCTATTAATTTTATAACATACTAATGAACGCCAAAATATTTTTTCTAAGTATATCAGTGGTAACCCAGTAGTAGAGCGTTTGCTTGAAAATCCAACTGATGCGGGTTCAAAGCTCGAGTCTCGCACATTTGATATTCTCGTATGCAAATCATTTTTAATATAATTACCATCCTTACGTTGAACGGAAACTGTGACAAGAAACCTACATGCCTAAGAAAACTTAATTAGATTTGGAAAAACTTGTTAAGCCAAATGGTACTGATCGCCGCGCTTTAAGTGGAATCCCATACCCTCCAGTGCAACGTTAAAAAGCGATTGAACGAGATAAACATCTCGTTCCCTTTGCTTAAAATGAGATTTGAAATCATCAATAAAGTTGCAGATGGTGAAATTCTCTACAAAGGCATTATAGATATAGAATATTTGATACAGTAAAGTCATACTATATATGCAAAAGGCACCAAGAACGTTCCCGAGCGAAGTAAGATTGAATAACTAGTTTATACAAATAAATAAAATTGGAGTGCCTGTTTGTAATATTAAAATAATAGCTTTTTAATAAATACATATACTAAAAGTATATACATATGGTACCTACTTACAAAAAAATCAATTATAAAATTTTCGTCTGTCCTTTTGTTTGTCGCGGTTAATCTTGGAAACGGCGTGATAGATCTTGACAGAACTTTCACTGGCAGATAGCTGATGTTATAAGGAGTAACTTGGGCTACTTTCATTTAATAAAAAGAATTAGGGTTCCGCGCAAAAAAATTAAAAGCCATGAAATTATGAACAAAATTCGCGTCCTCAGGACGCACCCAAAGTGAGGGTAAGTCGCTAGTATTAAAATAAAAACAGTTTTTTTCTTCTATGTACCAAAGATTTCGAAGTATATATCTAATGGTTAAACTTGTGATATAACCGTACACAATGAGAACGAAGTTTACATATTACAGAAACGTGAGGAGCTTTTTAAGGAGTTACATTACAAAAGCTTTTGTCTATATTTTTGTTTCGAGCTTTATTTAGTTAGGTTAATAAGTGCTTTTAAAAACAGTGTGTGATGTGATTGGTAGATACGAAGGAAATGTTTGTATGGATTATGCAAATATTTGTCCCAAACATAAAGTTAGAATTTAAAAATTTGTCTATAAAATGACAACGTTTTCTTAGTAATACTATGACGACACGTTTAACTCAGTTTGTAGTGGTTCTTGCTGTGCCAGCGGTCGTGGGTTCGAGTCTGGCTGGGGGCTTTCATTTGTGTGATGATCACGAATGTTTATTGCTCCAATCATGGGTGCTTATACTTATAATATGTATATTGTATGTATTTAAAGTTATATATGTGTAGTGTATCAACTACCTGGTATTTATAACACAGGCCTTGTAGCTAACCATGGAAATAGATAGTGCTGTATGTTAATGTCCCAACATACTCATTTTTATATGCAAACAAATAGATTATAATAATATAGGTTTAATTTTTGCCATTCATTCTAATCGGCTATGATCATATATAACTGAACATTTAACTTCTGACACACCTGATACACACAATTTTTACCAACTACGAAAAAAGAAGGTACTCATGTCAGTGTGGGTCATGTGGGTGTAAGTTTTGTTTTTTTGTGAATATTACGCAGTATTTTTGCCAAATCTAAAAATAATGTTCTAAAGATGGAAGAATTACCCTCTAAAGTGACAGATGAAAAGATTCAATGAATATATTTGACACCATTCTAACATTATTGTAGTATACTGTATAGATATTATCATTTCTATTTTATTACTAGCTTTTATAACGTCAAATGTACGGAAATTAAATTCTATACAGCCCCATGTTATTGCGATCGTGAGACGGCTATTGAAAAATTACTTATGATTTTCTCACGCGGATACACTTTGTTACAGTGTTTTGATATAGATTTAGTACATTTTAGGATTTTCTTTATAATATTTTCTTAGCAAAGAAATTATTTTTATAGGATTTGAGAACAATCGTGTTTATATATACAGTTACGTGAATAGAATCTACTTAGTAAAGTTCTAACGCTAACTAACTAAAAATAAAAATATGTCAGGTCTAAAATACTTTCTTAGATAAATTTGAATATTTGACATTTTCAAATAAAACTAGAAGGAGTCTCTGCCGTGACCATGATTGCTGTAAAACATTCGAAACGCAGTGGTTGTATCTTGATGCGTTCCCAGACAGAAAGAAATTCTAAAAACCATAGATTCGGCCTCTGTATCGATAATAATGAGTATTTCAATAAGATTTTCCATAAAAATATTTAAATACAGGTTCGACTCAATTAGAATTTTATTGTCAAATTTTCTTGTCAAAATCTACAAAAAGTAGGTTTTACACTTTAAAAGCTACAATAAAAGCTTTTTTTTCAGTACGAAACAAGAGCTTTCAATAGTAGCGGGGTCTCCATTACGAATAGTTCCTGCGATTCGATGGCGTGTGTGATCCAGATCAAACCGGAAGCTGGCACAGCAAAGTACACTTGCGAAGTGTCAAGTGAAGGTCCAAGGTTCGCTGTAGATAAGAAATCTGCTAATATGACTTTAGCGGGTAAGTTAATTGCTTTTATCCTTTACTTTAAAGCTCATGTTTTTCCCTCCCTGAAAAGACAGAAAATGTAAACATATACAAGTTTTCTAAATAGTTAAATAATGGATATTCAATTTAGACAACTAGTTTAGATAAAAGGACTAAAAAATCTTTCTGGCTACTTTTATATTTAAAATATACTTCACTTGTTAACTATTCCAAGTATTTTTTGTAACTCAAAAAGAGGTTTTTAACTTTTTTTGAGTTACAATTTTATCTTGTATATAGAAACTATAATACGATAATATAGTGTAACTTGTACTTGCAAGACTAATACTTTTATTTCATTTTGACTAACCTCTACCTCTCAGTGTTACCAGAGTATGAGCCACTCATTACTGGTCTACCAACATTCGTGAATGCGGGAGAGCAAGCATTCGTCAACTGCACGTCAGACTACTCCCTACCTGCTGCCACGATAGATTGGTTCGTGGATGCTGAACCGCAAGAGGTAAGAAACGAGGTTTTAGTTTAATGTATCTACTTTGTAAGTTCCTTAGAATTTCAAATATTGAAGGGTAATGGATAAATTGACATTTTTGGAGTATATAACATTCTAAAGTAAGTTAGAAAAAAATTTCACCTTCCAGTAATAAGTAATAGTCAAAAGCATTGTACTTGATATTTAAAAAAATATTAAAATTTTATACATTAAAAGTTTTAAGAAATTCACTAACTAAAGGATAAAACGTAAACATAAACCTTATTCCACTTTCATGTTATTTTACTTAGAATTAGCGATTTTTATATTCAATATCTTCAAAAATAAAATATATAAGAAACAACGTACAAATATAGAATACGATGTTAAAATTTTCGCTACACCTTACAAGGGCCTTAAAAATTAAAGACGTATATAGTTTCTACAAACGGCAGCATTAGGCCGAAAGCCATTATCTTGTCAGGATCTAAAAATAGTTTCGAGGCAAATCTCATCTCATAACATTGCCGTGAGCTGGGTGAAACTAGGGACCTTAAGTCGGTTGACCACTGGAAATGATTTTGTAAAGCGCTATATTTTGTAAATTTTTGATTTTTGTTGTAGAGTAAGCATGTACAGGTTGGATAACTTTTCGGAAGGTCGTAAGTTTGGTGCCTGGGTGGAGCAAATGCTTTTATTAGAAATATCTGTTTCAATATTATGGTTCAAACGCGACGTTCTTAAACTACTAGCGCAAATCTCTTAGACAATAATTTAATAAAATACAAAATCACACGTACGTTTCAAAGTATACGTAAATAACGCGTAAGTTTTTACGAACAAGCTAATAAACTATTTAAAAATGAACTACAAAACACATACATACATACAAACTGTCGCGCTTAGAATATTAGTATGTAAATATCACATAATGCCGAAAAAGAAGATCATTTTAGCATGTTTTCTTCACGTATTTAGCTACAAAGATAACAACTGTAAATATTGCAAGTATTTAATAAGCTATCGCGCTATAAATTCAGTGGTAATTTGCCCTTATATGAAAAAGAAGGGACATATCCAAACAGATATTGAGTATAAAATCAAATGAGGAACGCATTAACGTGTCATCTTTTGACGCTATCTTATTCGGGATCTTGTTTTCAGCGAAATATTCGTCTTCTCCTCGATATTATATCGCATAATATTACTTATTACAAAGACTTCAATATTGTCACGTAATAATAAGATTTTGTGCTACAATTTACTTAGATATTTATTTGAAAATATATTTCACAATTTCTTAATATTATATATAAAACTAATTTAATGACAGCAGTGGTAAGTACTTGAAAGTCTTGCGGGTTCAATTCCGGGTCTGGCACTTTTGATATGTCATCTGCGAAACATAACATGATTTCCACATGCTAATATAATGAGTTATCGATTAGGATATAGTATAAAATAGGTATACACAACTAAAACGAGCTTTCCTTCTTTAAGTCTAATACAGAGCTTATAAGATTACGAAAGTAACCCACGGGTGAAAGTTACATGTAAATTGAATGGTTATAGCACACAATCTGCCGTAAGTCCCAAAGGGTTGCCTTTGACGTAATCGGTTGTTACTTTAAATCTATGCATATAATAAAATTTTAACTAAGTTGAATCTGTACATTAAATATTTTTTGGAAAATCTAATTGAAATAGACATCATTATCGATACAGAGTTCAAAGCGATAGTTTTTAGAATTTTCGTCTGTCTGTCTGTTTGTTACCGCATAACGAGAAAACCACTAGACAAATTTTAATGAAATTTGGTATGATGACAGTTGGTTATCCGGGGCAACATATAGAATACTTTTTACCGCTCGAAAATATCTCATTTTTGAGAAAAAATAGAAAAACTGCAATGTAAGAGTATACTAATATGTAAAACCTAAGAATTTGGTTTTTGGTCATTTGAACGCAGGCGGAGCCGCGGGCAATGCTACTCACATGTAACATGTAAATTCATATATTTTTAACCGTATTTAAAAGGAATAATCATATTAATTTAGCTTTTTCAGCGATTTTGTTTTTCATATCGCATAGATATTTCTTGATTTTCTGTATTATGTCAAAACTAGTTTAAACCTGGTTTTAAAGTAAGGCTACTTTAAAAGACATAAGAGTATAAATAATTTTACTTAGTGGTATTCCATTCCATCCCACCCACGACTGAAGCAAGAACGTATCTTGAATGAAAAGTATAATAACAGAACACAATTTGTTAATTAAAGGCAATAGAAATATTTCCCAGGCATAGTAACCAAAGCACGTAAATCGTTAATAAATCATTGCGATTGGATTGAACAATTTAGATGATTAGATGATAAAATGACTCGATAAATTTAAATTTACTTTGGTCGATAATTTCATTTGAATTCGATGTTATAATTAAGTATATCACTTGGCACAAGTTATCATATCTAACAGATTAAAAATATTATTTTAACCGCGACCAATCTTTTCGTGTATTCTCCATTCTAAGTGACATTGGTGAAATAGTCTGTGCTCAACTGGCAAACTTTGAAGTCATTAAAAAGATAATTGGATTGAATTTAACCGACTAAAGACAAGGAGGTACTCTATTCGGTCGCTTGTTTCTTTTTGTTTTTCTTTTTGCTTTTGTTTAAATACGTATGAAAATTAAAAAAATAACTTTCTATATACATATTTATTATATACTAATTTAATAAATAAATCTTGATAAAAGACATAGATATGGAATGTAATTTTTTTTCTGATAAAAAAGTAATATCTGGATACTAATATTATAACGCCGATATTATTTTCGTTACTTTAAACGCCCTAATTGCTAATAAAACTATCACGCTGCACTAAATTACCAGTGAAATTCAAAAAATCCTTAATTATTTTATAATATTTTTATTTAAAAACATTACAGACTATTTAATGCCACTACGATCCTTACGTAAAAAGCATTAATACATAAATGTACGAGTGGAGCCACAGGTAAAAGCTATACATACAGCTTTAGCAAGCAGGTACAAAATTTATAATTTTTATACCAATTTGTAAAGAAAAATAAATAAAGGAGGTCAAGTTATTCACGCAAGATCACAGGCATCGAATTCAAAATGTAGATCACGACAATTAGTGAATTTCCATACAACCACTTGTTCACCATCTTTCGAGTTACTTTTTTATGAAAAAAATACGTAGTCTTATGCAAACTTATTTCATCATTATATTTATGCCATATAAGCTGATGATACCATCTGCATTTACCTAAGTTTTAGTTTACAAAACTTGCCGAAAAAATAATAGAAATATATAGAATACTTTAAAAACTTACATAATCAGTATAAATATTTATAGGCATCGAACTCACGACTTCCATCGTAGAAAAATCTTAAAACCAACCAAGAAGTTTATATCAGTTTTATAACTCGTCTATTTTAAAGAAATTTTATAAAATACCTCATAAGATTCCCATTACGTTATATAAAAAGCACATTAGAAGAGGTTTGATTTCAACTTCCGACACGCCTCGACGGTAGCTCTCAGGTAGTTCGATAAAAGTTTGTTTGACTGAGTTTTAGTAATTTAGTTCTTAGTGTAAAGTTTTTAGACCTAACTAAGATTACGTTCAGGAAATAAATTCTTAGAAACTAGAAACATTATTAGTACCTATTTGTAGATTTTGTAAGGTAAATTGACAGAAATGATAGTGATTTTATAAGAATTACGGATTTTATCGATATCGATAATATCGGTATTCGATTTTAAGTTATTTTGTGACTTATAAAAAAAAGTTTTATACTATTCTACAATATTTTGATTATGTTTTTCGCTATGTTGAATCGATAGGAAGATTACTATATATATATGTAATAACCGTCCTCAACTTATATGGAAGTATAATTCACACTATGGTAAATTCGAAGGTTTTTCTTGTTTAGATGAAATTTAGCACACAGATAGTCTATGATCTGGAAGTAATACTATTACTGTTGGCAAATAAAATTTACTAAAGTGTATTGTTGCCTTTATATAACTAGCGATTTACCCTCGCTTTGTTCGGATGCATTCCTAGGTATGTTTTAATTTTTTAAGCGGATCACTAATTATTATACTAAAATAAAAGTAGCCTAAATTATTTCTTATAAAATCAGCTATCTAACAGTGAAAGTCCCGTCAAAATTAGTTCAGCCGTTTCGGATATTAGCCGGAACAAACAGACAGACAAAAGTTAAAAATTGTATTTTTCTTATAAGTTCCGTATATAATTTCATATGCACTAAATGCATAAGCTGTTATTTTGATCACTAACAGCTACTTAAATTTTATTTATTTGTGTGTATGTATGTAGATATAAAACGTACCCATGGACAAACTCGGACGAAGCAAGAATAAATACTTGTTTTTCAGAAACCTCGAACCCATAACTACCTTATTATATATAGAAAGTTTCACTTCCCACAACACATAGAGTACGATGTTCAATTTTATGTAAAATACATCAATAAATAGATCAACCTCTAATAAATTCCATTAGGGATAGATCAGTACAATTGAATTTGTCCACTGAACCAAACTCGCTTCTAATGGAGCGGAAGAGTCGACTGAGTGCCTGTACTAGATTACAGAGTTACAGGAATTACTAGCGTGATTAGTGGTTGTTTATGAATTACACGAGCATTATGGTGCCGATAGTGTAAATTTGTACGTATGTTTGTTTGGTAAACACAGTATATATTAATTACATATAATTATGTCGTTATTTTATTACAATACTAGCGACTCACCCTCGCTTTGCTCGGGTTCGTCCCTAGGTGATTCTTTAACACCTCCAGATAAATTTCTAAGAAATTAATTAAAATTCTAAGAAATCTATTGTTAACTGCAACGCCGGCGTGTCCGCGGTCGTGGAGGGATTAAATTGACATAACTTTTTTATTACCGCAATACATTGTGAAAACCTCACCGCACCGAACAAATGCACAGACAAACGGACAAAAATTCTAAAAATAAATAATATATTTAATCATTTTTTTCCATGTACAGACCGCGATCAGTTACACTTTTATTATATGTATCGATAACTTACATTTTTTTTATTATCAATTGCGAGCAGGTTATAATATCAATAGTTCAATAATCAATGAATATCCATTGATTATATTCATGTGTATTTTATTCGTTACCATCCAATATGATGCCCAAGTACCTACTGCTACTACTACTACTTACTGTATTAGTGAAAATCTCGTTAAAATCGGTTAAGCCATTTGGGAAATTAGCGGGTACAAAAACCGACTACTTTAATTTTTGTCTATTGGGCTTTGATAGCTCGCAAATAACCACATATTATAGCAATTTTGGAAAATAATTTTCAATACGTAATAAGTGCACTTTATTTATTAAGTATAGGGCTCAGACTAAAGAATTGTAAAGATGGAGTCCACCAAAATAAATGTCAAAATCAACAACAGTAGCGTGATTTGCTGTTTAGGCTTCTATTCTCGTTTTTTTCAATACAAATCCTTATATTAGTATATTAGTTTATATTTTCGCATACAATTTTTGAGAATAAAATATGAATAAGTATCAATCAATCGAAAATCAAAATATACGAAATTCAAATATACTTTTACAAGCACTTTTGACACAACACTTGACTTTTTACATTTTTTAAATTAAATGTCTGTGAGTCCGTGATGAATCTACCACTGGCTTGGCAATAATAAAAATAATAGTATGACGGCACGCTCAGTGCGCCATCTGGAGGTTTCGGCGAGCTCATCGGATTAGTTTTTTCCGTCAACGACCGCGGGCACACCGGTGTGTTAATTAACAATTAATTTCTTAGAAATTGACCTGGAGGAGTGTCAAGCTTCCACAGCTTCCACAGCACACTCTAGTAAAGCGTTGAAGCGATGGTAGCAAGGTGATACAAACTGGCAGGTTTTAAAAAGAAATTAAAATAAAAAATAAAGTTAACAGTTAGAAAAATAATAAAAGGAATGTACACGACGAATCACTTATTTCCGAATTGGTTTATCATTATTGATTATATAACGTTTGATTTGTGCTTTATTTTGTGAACATTCTTTTATAGTTCTGAGTGTGTGAAGTGTAATAGACTTAGTTGATTAAATCTACTGTATTTTTTAAAATACATTATTTAAGTTCACGCCCACTATCTATATCTATACATATAATAAAATTGTAACTAAGCCGAATCTGTACATTAGATATTTTTTAGAAAATCTTATTGAAATAAACATTATTATCGATGCAGAGACCGAATCTATAGTTTTTAGAATTTTTGTCTGTCTGTCTGTTACCGCATCACAGAAAAACCACTGGAGAGATTTTGATGAAATTTGGTTTAGTGATAGCTGGTTATCTGGGTCAACATAAATAGAATACTTATTACCGCGGGAAAATCTCTCGTTTCTGAGAAAAAATACAAAACTGCAATTTAAGAGTATACTAATAAGTAAAACCTAATAATTTGGTTTTTGGTCATCCGAACGCGGGTGGAGGCGCGGGCAATGCTAGTATAGATAAACTAATAATACAAGCAGTAACTATTCTTGTAACTGAAATTAATCAAAATCAGCTCTTCATACGCAGTTTCAATAACTCTTTTGATCAACCCACCCCGTAACTCCATTCAAAGACTGATGAGTTTCCGCCGCTAATGGAACATAAGTCAATCGCATCTGTAATCATTCAGAGTATTATGACGATACATACGTCGCGTTTCAACGACTGTGTGAAGAAACAAGTTTAATATTTACATAAATAACAATATCAAAGCCGCAACCAATATATATACATTTGTATGACATACAATATCTAATATATAAAAATCTCGTGTCACGGTGTTGGTGGTCGCACTCCTCTGAAACGGCTCCACCGATTTTAATGTGTTTTGTATATTTGGTAGGTATGAGAATAGGTCGTCCAGTATTTTTCACGCTCCGACCCCCAACCCCTCGTTTATTAATCACTATTTTAGTACTTTTGTATGAACAATATTATACAAATACATAGCTGTATAACAATTAGCATAAAGCCAAAGAAGTTTTTTTTTGTAGATTTAACGCTGGCATAGCCGCGTAGCGTACTGCGAATATGTATATAATAAATATGTATGTCTGACGTACGTATATATTATGACTAAAAAATTTTGTGTCAACTGTACCTTCAAAAAAACGCCCTTCTCAAATAAATATTTAAAAACTTCTTTCAATAGATTCGTTCTTTCGATAAATCTATTAGGAAATAATTTAAAAAATATTTTTTCTCAATATTGTACCCGTTTCCAATTAAACAATTACGTTTTTTTTAATATTATATATACCTATTATTCCTACACTACTAGATTTATTACGCAAAGTGATAAAAACACATTCTGGAAAAAACAAAATCGGGACTTCAACCCGCGACCACCGGTTTAGCCAAAACCACATCACGTCTGTCACATAATTGCGTAAATATTTTAAATATTTTTTGCGATTCCGCAATTATTTGCGATGCGAATTTCAAAAATTTCCGAATAAAACCGAAAAGGTAGTTTTAATAAAATGTCAATTGTTTGCGTATATCTGAGAAATTATTGTATGATGCAAATAAACAATTTTTCAACAGGATCCAGTGATAACAGGAGAGACGCACGTCTCAGGAGCAGACGGGGATGGTCTTCGGGCTTCTTGGAGAACCCTCCACGTGTTCCCTGACGACTATTCCACACATCGTGGGTACTTAGCGTTGGAATGTCGCGCGACTTTACCCACAAGGCCACCCCACATACGCAGTATGGCTGTCAGGCTGTACGTGGCTGGCCGGCCGCACATATCATCTTATATGTTAAGTAAAAATAGTAAGTCATTATAATTTTTTTTAATATATTGTTAATATAAGTCGTTAAGATAACGTAGAAATTGTACGTAAACACACCTACGAGTATAATGTGTATGGAAAAATGTATGGATGTAGATTGTATAATTTCTAAAAAAAAACGTATTCTGTAAAGACAAAAGTTTGTTACTATGATTGAAATTATTTAAATATGTATTCTATGAAATGCAAACTGTATTTAATATAATCAAAAATATAACTATATTTTTTATATTTAGTCATTTAAGTACTAGTATGAATACAAAAATTCTAATTAGCGTTTGTTTGTTCCTCCTTCACGTTGAAATTGCTGAACAGATTTGAATGAAATTAAGTGCAAAGGCCAAAGATAGATTATATATATACCTGGAATAAAATATAGGATACTATTAGGCATTTTATCTACCCGAACAAAGCAAGGATCAATCGCTAGTTAAGTATTTACATATATGATAGATGCTCGTTATGATATGTAATTTGTTCACAAAAAAGTGCATATTATATAAAATCGACACTCTACGACATCTTTCGAAATCGAATAGAAAATTAAAAAAAATAGAGAGAGAGTAAAGATTAAAAAATCGATCTATAATACAGTTATAAATACTCTACCGCCAAAAACTCACCACATTCACGACATAACCTTTATACTTGGACGATTAAAACACTTTTATTATTATTGCCATACAAAATATAAATTAATATTTGTTACGAATTTTCCCTTCTGTGAAAACATTTTATCTTCCATTATCATAAAGGGAAAGCCTTTACACCATTTTTGTAGAAAAATGTTAAATTACATTCTGACATGTAAAGAATTTTACAAATTGTATCGGCTGTTCATAAATTATGAAAATAATGTTAATGCTTTGTAACGCTTATTTTAAAATATTTTCATTTTCCTCCCAATTTTACATAATATGCGTATTTCGGAAATATTTTGTTGGGAGTAGAGTTGCGTAAATTTCTTTTTGTACAATCCATTGAATATCAATGGAATAATCTGAATTTCATGGAGCTCTACATTTTACATGCACATATTTGTGTATACACCACATATACAGTCATATTGGACATAATATTGACCTGGAAAGACAGCTAATTTAGTAAAACCAACAAAACTCTTTGGGTTTCCATATAAAATCAATCTAGGTTATAAATGACTTTTAGGGAGTAAAAAATAAAATGTTTTTTTTTTTTTATTATTATAAAACAGTGACCATTCAGTTTCTAGATGCTCTGACATTGAAAATCAAAGTCAATAAGTAAATATTTACACGCATGTGACTTACAAAGCTTAGAATGTTTAAATTGACTACCAAAATCAAATCCTAATTGACTAAGATATAGTGACCATAAGATATGCAAAAGAACATAGATCCGAATTATTCAACGTGCCACTGCTGGGCGGGGGCCTTCCTAAAATGCAAGAGGGGGTTCGAGCCATAGTCCACCACACTGGCCAAGTGCGGGTTGGGGGACTTCACGTGTCTTTCGAAAACTTGCTAAGTTCTCTCAAACTGTCTTTCTCTCTAATCTCAAAATTCACACATGAGAATATCACAGGGGGATTTAAACTCGCTTCACGTGATTTCCGAAGCGAGATCGTTACCACTGGGCTATATTACTTATATCAAGTTAAGGTAATATAAATATAACAAAATAAACATATTTTTCTATTAAACAAAAATATGATCCGCCTCGATGTTGTTGTGGCTAAACATGGAACGCTTCCAAATGTATGTTCAAAAGTTGCAAAGTACGACTGAAAAGTAGTCAGGTATATCTTGATAACGTCGAAAATTTTATTTCAGAAGTTTGAGTGCTGAATGTATGGTAAAAAATATTTTTGTTGTGAGAATGTATTATTTCAAACAAAATTATCTTTTAAAATATTTCGCAGATTTATGACGCAAGTCATCAGTATTAGTATAATCGTCATACTAATTTAACAATTTCAAAGTAAATTAATAAGATAGACGGAGCTTACAGAAGATAATGATTGAAGCCTAAAGTGGTATTAAAATTAGCTATTTATTGTATCCCTACAAATAAATAATTTTGCCTATTTTCGACGTAAAGCTACATTAGAATAGTGTTAAAAATAATATAAAATTAATGAATTATAAAAAGCTGAATTGTATATTTTTCTGGGATAAATAGTAGCCTATGAGTAATTTTGATGTATGAGCTATATTAACTACTAACAAACATCCATAAATCCTCACAAAATTTCGCATTTATATTATTAGTAGTATTATTAGATGAATATATTTTCTTATTTTATATACAATTTCATATAAGTTCATTTCTTCATTTACTCCATCTTATTTTCGTCATCATAGTTTCACCAGACCACTAAAAACAACCAAATTTAAATCCTCATTTTGGAAGTCGGTTAAAGAGACAGTTGCCAGAGTTTTTACAATGAAAGCGCATTAAGAAAATGCAGTGGAAGAAAATAAACGGTTTCTGTTGACGTTACGAGTGGTCTTCAGTGCTCACGACATTTTTCTTGTGAGTTAGTGATAGTGACCCTTGACTCTATTCTTTGCTTCTAATATGCTTGTTAAATGACATCTAAGCTTGACCCTATTTTAAATATAATGAATCTATACTAATATTATAAAGATGTAGAGTTTGTATGTTTGTTTGTTTGAACGCGCTAATCTCAGGAACATCTCAGGAACTACTAATCCGAGTTGAAAAAATATTTTTGCATTAGACAGCCTGTTTATTGAGGAAGGCTATGTATGTATCATATAATATATAGTCTATATATACCATACTAACTGTTACAACGTAACTAGGGACGAACCCGAGCAAAGCGAGTGCGAGCCGCTAGTTTTAAACATTAATGAAATATAAGTATTGATGTATGTTTGCAATCTGTCTGTATATCTGTTTGTGGTATGATATCTACCAAACGTATTGACCGATTTTAACGCTATTTATAACTGATAATTTTATAGTAGAATTGTAAGTAATGTTTTTAAATCGGCCAAGAATTATTTAAAGTCCAACATGCAATGATGGCCTTATTTGAATCATTTTCAACTATATAGGATAATTATAGGTTATAAATAAGTTTTATAACAAGATACCTATAAGAAAAAATCGTGTTTATTTTTCTCATAAAGCCTTTTCTGCCTTCATAGTTGCGTTAACATCGAATAACGTGGACAATGTACATGTTTCAGATAATCTTTTTGTAGTCACTGCTTAGAAATATAAAAAGCTGTTTTTATATCATATACGCTGATTTTATACTGCAGATTCTTTTTTATACGAATATAATAATATATAATTATTATTGGTTCTAGGATCTAGAATCATACTAATATTATAAACGGGAAAGTTTGTAAAAATGTATGTATGGATGTATGTTTGTGACTCTTTCACGCAAAAACTACTGAATGGATTTTAATGAAACTTTGCAATAATAAAACAAAGTCGGGTTAGTTAAAACACTTATAACTCGAGAACGGCTGGACCGATTTTGATGATATTTGATTTGTTGGTTCTGTATACGCCCCGAATAGCAGAATAACTATACAAACATAAAAAAAAACACGAAAAAAAAATTACATAGCTAACGCTGGCTAATAACTAAGTATTTATATATATTTAAAACGTACCTAGAGACAAACCCGAGCAAAGCGAGGGTGAGGCGCTAGTTATAGATAAGAGGTGAAGCTATCATACAATTAGTAACTTAATTATGTTCATAGAATATTTCAAATATAAATGCCTCCTATATAAGAGTTTATGGGCTATAGAAATAAAATTTCAATTGGTGAGGTCGAGCTTCGTAACTTTACAGTTGGGCGTTATTTGACCTTTAATGGGCATCGTTACAGCACAAAATAGGGAAAAAACTTAATTTATCGTGTTTTCTTCAATCTCTTTTACTTTATAGTCTGAATACTACTAAATTTATAGTTGAGTTGTTTATATGATTTCTTTATTTCTAAGTACGTTCTTTTAGTGTCAAGAACCTAACATGGATGAATTTATTGAAGTTTTATCATGTAATAACGTTAGAACAAGATTTTTCTTTTTATACGTAAATCGCGTATGGTACTTTTTACGCCACAATATGTCTGACACTTGTTGTGTCTTTTTTCTTTAATTTTGTAAACTTTTTCAGATTTCATATAATTACGCTTAATGCCAATTCTTCGGCCTAACTACTCTGTATACCAATTTTCTGCTCAGCAAATTGGAAGCAAATGAGTTGTGATAGATAAATAGACTCACGAATCCCATAGACTCCGATTTTATATCAAACATACGGAACCGAAATAACTTTATAATTATAAAAATACGCCAAGTAATCTTTAAAAGTAATTTTAACCCTGATTAGTATCCTGAAATTTTACAAAATTTTCACAAAAACTGGTTTACAGTTGATCAAAAATATCACATAACATTCACCGAATTGTAATTCAGGAGTATAATTTACCTCTTTTTAAAATCGGTCAAAAAAATGAATAAATTTCACAAAATATTGCTAAAAGCACAATAACTATTTATATTTAAAGAGATGCAATAATCTCATAGCATTACTGTAAGAAAGTCGTTTATTTATATCGGCGCCGCGCCGTCTCTACAGAACGCAGTTTCAAACTGCCATAGAAATATTGCTTGCAAATGCAAATAGCTAGAAATACGAGCGATAAAGTTATTTAAGACATATGAAGCGAAATTGTTCCATTTGTGTGTGGTTTCTATCGTCTTCTTTAAATAAAATCAGAAAATATTTTGATCTAGCCACTGCATCTAGATTTGCCTGCGTATTTATTTTTCTTTAAGCCAAATACAATATAATCGTTTTCGAAACGTATAACGAAATACTGTCGCTGTAATTTGAACCTAAATTAAAACCAAAATTTAAAAATTAAAACTAAAAATTTGTTAGGTAAATATTCTTCTTCTTCTTCTTTCTGAATGAATGATGAATACCTCCAGCGGGACTCGAACCCTCGACACATTACAGAATCGATTGGATACTTGTACAATGTACATAAGCTGATATATAACTTTGAGAAACTGTGGATCAGAAGATTTCTATAAGAACAATTTCTTACAACCAGATCACGATCTGGTATAGATTTACCCTATCTTTATAAAAAGGTATTTATTGATAGCACTAAAGCTGGTCAAAAGCTGCTAAAAAAATTTATTGACAAATAAAGCAGAAGTTTTGTCTTAACCTATTTATATATTACTAGCGGACCCGACAGACGTTGTCCTGTCTACACGTCTTTAATTTGAAAATTTCAAACTTTTTTTAATAATTTTTTTTATGAAAATTATTATTCAAATTGTGAATCTAAACCATTCCCAGATCCCCTTGAACACACACAAAGTTTTTTATCAAAATCGGTCCAGTCGTTTGAGAGAAGTTCAGTGACATACACACTCACAGAAGAATTATATATATAAAGATGTAGATAATATTAATAAGGACACAAGTACTTTATATCTGAACTAGTTTGCTTCTCCATACAAATTTCATCCCCATGTTCAACCCCTTAAGGGATGATTTCCGGAATAAAAACTATTTTATATCTTCCCAGGGTCTCAAACTATCAGCCGATTGGAGGTGGCCCACTTCGGTGGGCGGTGGTTAGGTATAATGGGGCTGCTCCGGGTACCTCTCTGGCGTAGCAGAGTTGACTGTGGAGCAGCCCCATTGGTTTGGTGGTCTGCCTTTTTAGGCAGACCTGCCGCCGGGGCGCCGTAGTAGTTATGCGCAAGCGATCCTGCGGCGTCCCATTAAGGCGGAGGGGAGGGGAATGTCGGGTTTTAGTGGGTAGTACCGGCTCTTCTAGCCGGTGAGCCCCACATCACCACCTGGGGGATCAGGTGGTATGCGTAAATGCATTTCCCGACATAAAAATAAAAAAAAAAGGGTCTCAAACTATCTTCTTACCAAATTTCATTTAAATCGGTTTAGTAGTTTCGGAGCTTATTGGGTACAAACAAACAAACAACAAAATCTTTCCTCTTTATAATATTAAGAATAGATATAAATATGACAAACTCACTAAATACATAAGTATGACGATATTACATATATTTTTACCTTTCAGATGCTGTTGCAAAGAGTGCTGCTTCAAAATTACGAAATGAATTTTTTATATGGACGTTTTTCCTACTGTCGAGACGAGTAGTGCCTTGTTTGTGAAATAAAATGACTGACATTGATATTGATCTAACGTACGTAAAGCTGTGAAAGGTATAGTGTATTAAATATGAAAATAATTTAAAAAGCATAATATTGTTTATTTAAGTCAATTATGTACAGAAAATGTAATTATGTTGTTTTGAACATATGGACTGATGAACTAAGGAAATGACTTTTAATTCAATCGCTCGAAATATTGGAGTGTATTTTTAAAGGTGTAATGTTAATAATTGCTATATATTTTAGTGAAGTTAGTTAAGAAATGGTTTTATTTTCTTTTTGTAACAAATCTGGTACAGTTCTTTCCCTGAAGACTGTAGGTTCGATTCTCGTGCGAGATGAATATATGTTTTAGCCAAATGACCGTTTTACGGCGTAGAGAATTGTTGCTGCCATTTTTCTATGCCCAATACATTACTTTACCTTAAGATATTCTGTTTTTTTTCCTATTTTAAATTTAGACAAAAAAGGCAAAAAAAGAAAATATTTTAATTAAATATAATAAATATCTAAAACACTTCTAACATAATATTGCACTATTGTACAGAAAACTAGATAATCGTTTGTGTAACAACGATGGAAATACAGTTTATTTATATATAAATAGTTAGTCATGAGAGTATTTGTATAAAAAATGTTTCTTTTATAGCTATTTTTCTCTCGACTGTGCTTGCTATTTAGTATAAGATATGTTAAAATTAACATACAAGTCAAAATGAGGCAAGCAAAGTCGATGGCGAAATCATAACTAATTCTAATATAGTGATGCGATAATTATAACTTATAATTTTCTTATTAATATATTATATTTTTTATTATTATTATTATTATATACATTTTTTGTTACCTTAATTACAACCCTAAATCTATGTGCCAATATATGTTAATTTATTTACGTCTATACGTAAATGTAAATATGTTTGTTTTTAACATAGCGTTCACTGATAATTTTGTTCTTATATATCAACTGAATTTACGTGTACGAGATAGTATTCCAATTGAGGTAGCGGGTTCTATTTCCGACAGAAGTTAATCAATTTATAGCTAGAGTTAATGTGACGCACGTACATATTAAACCTATGCAAACGCGTGAATGGCCACTTATCATTATTTCATTGTAATCGAAACGCATATAAGATCAATCTTTCTGGTGAAGGCAAAGCATATTTTGGCAAAAAAAAGTCAAGAACCTTTTATCAAAAGAAAAATCCTAAATTTTTTTCTGGATATTTTTTTATAGTTAAAATATAATAAAATATAAATAATATATATAATCAAGCGTGTGAAGCCGAAAGAAGTACTATACAAACAAAATACAAACCGGAAATCTCTTTTAAAACATAGAATAAACAAATAGGAACTTTTAACATATAATTTACAATTGTTTGAGGTATTACAATTGTATTTCTTTCATATAAAGAACAGTAACGTAATACGCCCCTCTGAATACTGTATAATGTACTCGCTGATTCTATACTTTATTAGCATAATTTTCATTGCGAGTGCTTTTAAGGGAAGTTATACAAGTTATATGAAACCTAAGCTTTATCCCAGCTTTTTGTGGAGCTTTTTGCGATAGTTAGACTATTGTTTTTGCTTCAGTCAACAATTGGTCTTATATACATACATATATGTAAGTTCTTTTTATTTACCAGGAGATTTAAAACACTTTCTTAGATTTACGCGAATATTTGACATTTTAAATAAAACTATCTTTTCAAATAAATAAATACGCAAAATAATCCGAAAATATAGTTTTATTTAAAAGAAGACTTATACTTCAGAACTGACCAAGTTTGAGCTCCTGTTTCCCACTTATGTAGACTAACTATATATATTTTTAAAAATATGATTCTATTTTAGATGTGGAAGAAATATATAAATACTAGCGACTCACCCTTGCTCCGCTCGGGTTCGTCTCTAGTGAATTTAGGTTTGTATGTATTTTTTAATGCCGAATCATAATAAAATTTAAAAAAAATTGACCAAAAAATAAAAAATAAAATTTTGGCATGGACCACCCTTATTACTTAGGGGTAGTTTCGTCGTCCTATTCTCAAACCTACGGAAAATACACACAAAATTTCATAAAAATCGGTCAAGCCGTTTCGGAGGAGTTTTGTTACAAACACTGTGACACGAGAATTTTATATATTAGAATAAATTAAAAAATCTATAACTAGTATTAACTATTGTGTGAAAAATAGCGAAACAAATTCCTACAAGAATTGAAAAAGGTTTTAGATGAACGTGATCAGTTCTTCACTGACTCCTCACAGCAGACTCCGACAAGCCTATTGTAATTTGATCGAACTGACGGTACAGACTTACATCACTTTAACTGACTTTAAAAAGAAAAGTACTAAATTTGGGTGTATTTTTTGTTGAATACGTTACGTGATTTTATAATCATTATGTATGAAGATTCAAAGTCATCGAATTATGGTTTTACAATATATATAATGCTAAAGGTCGCGTGTTCGATTCCCTGTCCATACACACTTTAGAACACATATATAACATCGTGAACGTGAACTATAGATAACAGTGTGTTTAAGTAAAATTACTTAGTCATTATCAGATGCATTGGAAATAAAATACCATAAAAAATTATAATAAAACATTATATTTAACTCCGCAATGCACACGCACTCTTATATCAATATCTACCATTGAGCCTTATGAAGGTAAATTGAAAGGATTTGTTCATTCAATATTCATTGGCTTGGGCTGTATTTTGCTTTGTTACTTTGGTTGCTTTAATAATATTTGAACTCGCTAATGAAATTATAGTTATTTTTAACTCCACTACTATCCCTGCATAAGTTTTAATATTTAAAGAGCTTGAAAATCTGCTTTTATAAACATTTTAATTAATACAGCTTCAAAGAGAAATTCTTGCAATGTTAGCGCAAACAGCTATGTTGGCTAATTATATAGTAACAACAAGTATTATATATTTTATATATCTCAAAATGTATTAGCTATTAATGCATTATCAATATATTAATGAATATTGTTATATAAATATATAAATAAATTTATTCCTTTAATTAGGAAAATCATTGTGACATAATGAAGTTAACTGGTTATATATGGTAGGTATGTATTTACTAAATGGCTTAACCGATTTTGATCAATCCGTCGTAGGCTATGTCTGGATGACAGGAATGTAATAGAGTAAATTGAAAGTATAAAAAAAGCTGAAATGGTGATTTCTGGTTATTTATTTGGGCATTTTAAAAAAAATCTTCCATACTTATCTTGTAGTATAAAAACGAAAGGTGAAAAATTATTTAATCTTTCAATTTCGTTTTTTACGTACTTGGATATATTGTTTTTAAAAATTTCTATCAGAAAATGAAATGCATACTATATTCTTTCCACTTAGCACTATAAAATTCATAAACTCACTGCTAAGCACGTGCCTCCCTCTAATACGAGGTAGATCAGGCCATAGTGCAACACGCTGGCTAAATGCTGGTTGGTGGGCGTCACATATATTTCGTTAACTTGCTAGGGTATCTTATACTCATTCATACAAGTTACCTCACAATATTTTCCTTCACCGTAAGACAAGTGGTAATCAATTGGAAAAAATTCGCACATGAAAATATCAAAGGTTCGAGACCATATATTTGAACCCGCTTCACTGGTTTTCCTAAGCGAGCGCGCTACCACTGGGCTACCACTTTAAGCTTCCATGCCCAATAGAAAATGATAAACTCGTAATAATATGATAACATATTAAATATTATTTCAATATGGCCTTAACTTATTACATATAAATAATTCATCAGAAATACTCTCTGGTAACGAAAAGCTGATCGTTTATAGAATTTCTTATAGAAATAATACCCCAGTGAGCAATATAGCTATTAGAGACAAACATATTTACTTTTTAGATTATTGTTTTAACATTACTTTTGTGGATCTAAGAATAATTTATATTTATTGTGTTTAGGCTATTGTAGAATAAATCTTTTTGTAAAGATAAATAAATATATTGTACAGAATAAACATGAATCTGAATGTCAATAATAAAATTATTGAAAATATTTGCTGTTTTTTTTTGTTTCCTTTTCCTCGTTTTGCTCTTGCATGTCCCTAATCCTGTAATTCATTTAAAAATTGAAAATATATGAAAATCGATTCATAATTGGTCTATGCCATATGACATCTATATGTCACATATAAAAAATACAGCCAAATCGACGTCAAATTGTAGTGATAAAAAAATATTTACTTACTATAATTTTTTGTGTCTGTCAACTGAGATGCTAGTACTTGTTACCATTTTAAATACAGGTGTTATAGTAATTTTAACGATTATTTTTATTTGTAACCACTAGTATGTATGTGTTTATTCAGTTTTTTTAACATCCATCTGCTGGGCATTCCCCTCAATAAAAGTCTCAGTCCCCCAACTAATAGTACATCTATACAGATAAATAAAATTTAAGTGTCTATTTGTAATGTCAAAATAACAGCCCTTTACTAAATACGTTATGAAATTATATACGGTACTTATAAAAAAAACTGTAAAAAAGCCAAAAAAATATATTTTATGTGTATATGTGTACACATATGTGTACTACCTTACATATAATAAAATTCTAAGCCGAATCTGTAGGTACATTTAATTTTTTTTTTGAAAATCTTATGGAAATATATTATTATCGATATAGAGGCCGAATCTATAGTTTTTAGATTTTTTGTCTGTTTGTCAGTCTGTATAACTGTGACGGCATCAAAAAAAACACTGGATAGATTTTGATGAAATTTGGTATAAGGATAAATGCTTATCTGGATCAACATATAGAATACTTTTTGTTGCGTAAAAATATATCATCTCTGAGCTAAACATTAAAACCTAACTAGACGAACGCAAACGGAGCGAGGATGAGTTGCTAGGTATATAAATCTTAAAAATATTTTTTTTTTAATAAAGAGTAAAATAACACTTAAAATAAAGCTTTTTTTATAATATAGAGTAA